AGGTTTATATGTATAATAACATCCATTAAATAGTGGAGAAATTTAGTATCAGCATTGCTCCCGAGCGAAGCAGGGACGGGTTGCTAGTTCGTTATAATTATAATTTGAACATTGAAACGTTAAGATTGGACATACCTCTAGTAAAATCATTTGTTTGACATGAGATCATCAAGTCCCTTTTTTTAATATCATTAATTTCTACTTCCAACATATGTGGGTCGAGAGGGAGTGTCAGACTCTTACTGACTAAAAACCAACCCCGTTTCTTCTCCTGTTATTTCTTCATTAGGTCCATAAATTACGCGAAGTGTTTAAGGGGGGGAGGGGGTCGAGTCAAATCTCATCTAATCTTACGTTGGAGAGAGGTCTCGGCAAATATCACGCAATTTTTTTTCTGATTATCCTATCCTATTTTGGTCTATTTAATCCAGATTATACATGCTTAAGATTTAATCTTAAGCGTAATCGTAGTACGATTAAGATCATTTACTAATAAAAGGACGATACAAATTTGTTTTTTTTTTCTTTTTACAATAACAATCCAAAGCGTTTACGTAAGAAACTTAGATTTTGAAAAAGGGTTGATTGGCGGGGGAGGGGAAGGGCAGAAAATTAAAAAAAAACACCTTACGTAATTTATGGACGCCCTTATTGCGTTCACACACAACCCCGGACGGTATCGGGCCCCCTTTAGTTTAAGTAACAGTTTAAAATTACAACAGACTCTAGAATATGATAAAAAATTGCTTTCTAATGCTAATAAGCAAAATTTACTCAATTTCAAAGATGTTGTCAAGAAGTGTCAGTCTGTCGGTCAGTCCTCTAGTGAAGCTATTTGCTCGTTCCAAAGTGTAGATTCCTATGGAGAAGAACGAGCAACAAACTCCATGGTTACTCTTTTTCAAATAAGTTTCACATACAGATTCTTTGGTTCAACTGGCCAGGTCGTAAATTCAATGGTATATTCAGTTATTTTTAGTGTCTGTGTCGTGGTAGCCCGGAGGTTAAGGCGCCCGCTTCTCATGCATGAGGGTGCGCGTTCGAAACCTGGCAAGCACCAATGTGACTTTTTCCGAGTTATATGTACTTTCTATGATTATTTAGACACCACTCACATACGGTGAAGGTAAACATCGTGAGGAAACCTGGACTTATAATTTCTAATTATAAGTTTGAAATCGCCAATCCGCCTTGAGCGAGCGTGGTGGTTAATGCTCAAACCTTCTCCGTATGAAAAGAGGCCTTTGCTCAGCAGTGGGCATTTATAGGCTGATCATGTGTGACGTGATTCAGTTATTTGACTCTAACTCATGTAGTTATTGTGATTCACATCTCTTTCCGCTTACCTCATTTACTATCAAAAGCGTAATATTATGAGTAAATCCTTTATACTGTTATCAACGTTAGATAAAAATTAATACCACTTAGTCATCATGATTTGAAAGGTTTTTTTCGCGTGCAGATTATATGCTACAGTTATGTGGAAAGTCCGTAAAATTTGAACAATCACTAACCTATTTTTTTTATTAAGAACTAGCTACTCTAGCGCGGTTTCACCCGCTGCTCAGCTCCATTTAACCGTAGCGTGATGTTTTACAGCCTATAGCACTCAGGAACATTGTAGCTATCTATCAGTGAAAGAATTTTGGCAATCCGACCAGCGGTTCTAAAGATTACCCCCTACATATAAACTTACAAATTTTACCTCTTTATACTATTAGTATAGATTTATTTTGGTACAGGATCAAAGTTCAATTTGCCGAGAAAATGTGGTTTAGTCATAGTGATTTAGAAAAATAATAAATTAAAACTGATTTTTCAATAGTTAGTTATAAGTTAGCTGGGAAAAAATTATGATGCTGTCGCGTCAAAATGTTTGTATAAGACAGTGACAGCAACAATTTCGTTCCACAGATACATTTCCACATTTATCTGACTATTGAAAAATCAGTCATAAGTTTATTAACTAAACTAATAGAGCAAAGTTTATTAAATATGGCAGCCACAATAACAATGAATTATGGCCAGTCACCGTTCCTCGACATTATTTTTTACATAACTTTAGATATTTTGTGATAAATTCAAGTGTTTGATAAGATAATATTCTTATACCGCGTTCTCTTCGCGTCCGACATTTTTCCCGCGTCATCGTGAGTATTCGATTTTTTTTTTATTCCACCTTTTTTATTATTTATGCTCTATTTTGTTGTTTTTTTTTGCGAAATTACGTTTTGTTACGTCTCTTGCGTTGTGCGTTTAATTTCTTTTTTTCTTTTTATTGAAATGGTGGACTTTTTCTCTAATTTGCGGATTGGTATGTATGTTTTTGTTTTGTGATTGTTGATATGGGAATGAGTTACTTGTGTTGGGCTCGATTCCTCTTTCACTTGGTAGAATTGATGTTCGATTTTCAAATTGTCTATAACCTGTATAGTTGGCAGTATTTTATTTCTTTTTAGCAAGGGACTGTATTATATCGTTCGTTATTTAATTTTCAAGCGCTGTTCTGGTTTCGATTTTCAATTTCACTTCTTGTCCTTCCCTACATAAGCTCCCTTTTTCTACACTAATATTATAAAGAGAAAATTTTTGGTTGTTTGTTCGTTTCGATTGCATAGGCTCCGAAACTACTGGACCGATTTGAAAATTTCTTACACTGTTGAAAGCTGCAACTATCCCGGGTCAACTTGGATATAAATCACGTACAGCTAGTACTTGTATTATACATACGCATCTTTACTTGGTCATTCATACAATCGAGATAAAGATGAAAAACCATACGAAAAAACGTTTTTACTGAGAAAGAAATATTATATAACAATATATAAATATGTGTCATTCTTTAATTTCATCATAATTATTTTGTCTAAAAAGAGAATTCTTATAAATTTACTTTGAAAAATTTTTCATTTGACCTTTTTACAAAAAACTCATTTTTAAATGATTAAATTCTATCCTAGAGTTGCATCATGATATATATTATTATTATATTATTACAACTTATCTAACGGATAAAATGAGCCTGTATAATGATGCAATGTATTTCAATATATACATAATATATTTACGTCAAAAGTACATAAAACACCTCACGTACACGCCATACTAAGGCACGAATGGGTCGGCTCGACCGGAGTGATACCGCAGCCTCACAGAAAAACCGGCAACAAACAACCACAGCGTTGTGTTTCGCCGTGTGTCAAAAATCATTTATTCCAATTAGACCCCTACAGACACATTTGAACGTCAAACAAAATTTTAAAGATATAGTGTCAGTCTGTCGGTCAGTCCTCTTAGTGAAGCTATTTGCTCGTTCCAAAGTGTAGATTTCTATGGAGAAGAACGAGCAAGAAACACCATGGTTAATCTTTGTGTGAGTGAGGTTACCGGAGGCCCAATCCTTTGTCTCGCCTACTCCTAAAAGGCTGGCAATTCACTTGCAATAAATACCTCTGGTTTTACGGGTGTCCACGGACGGCGTCGGTTGCTTGTCGCCACGTAATCCCTTTGCTAGTTGTCTAGTCATAAAAAATAAATATGATGAGTCATTTTACTGTCGATTCATTTTCTGTCGCGTACTGCTAATTGTATGAAACCGATAGTTATTTAAGCCTTAAAAATACTGTATTTGTAAGCAAATGTATGGTCAAGTTCAGTGTGATATTTATCTACATGGCAACTCCTACTTTATTTCAAAACGCAGTAAGTATAAAATTGCAACCAACTCTGTTGATACCTCAACGTCGTACTTACTTATCGCAGAAATACGTCACAGCTCTGAAAAATTTACATAGTAACAGCGACTCATGTAGTGTAGAGATTGTCCAGTCAACTGATGGTAGCGTGGACTGTCCAGGCGATACGTACTTAGGTATCGTCATGAGCTAATGTTAACATGTAAACAGTGACTCATGTAGTGTAGAGATTGTCCAGTCAACTGATATAGTCAATAATCTTTAAGTCGTAATCATCACTACAAAGTATAAAACAAACTCGCTTTCTCTATCCCTATATCCATATGTACGCTTAAATCTCTAAAACTACGCAACGGATTTTGATGCGTGTTTTTTAATGGATAGAGTGATTGAAGAGGAAGGTTTACATGTAGAATAATAACATCCATTAAATAGTGGAGAAATTTAGTATCAATATTGACAACCCCAATAAATTTAATATGTCTGACGTTAGTTACTATAATAAAACAAAAGACGATGAAAATGTTCAGACACATTTATAAACAGTTAATGATAAAATTGACGCGTCAAAATGTTTCAGTGACACGCGAAAAAAATGATACGGCAAATGACCTAGCTGTTTTTCCAATTCATTCATTATTTTGTTTATAAACGTTATCATTGGTCGGTGTAATCGCGTGAATCTTTAAAAAAAGTAGGCGTTTCCATAGATAGCGATATAAATATATAAAGCTATAGAGTATATTTTTTCTTAGTTTATTTCACGCATTGAATGTGTTAAAACTAAATTGAGACGTCGACTCGACGACACGGCGACTTGTTCGGGAGTTTCTCTCTAAAAACCTGTTTGGATTTTTAACCTTAACACCGACGGGTTAGCTGTTATTTTCGAGTACCATGTACCCTTTGTTCGATGGGCCTGTTATGATGGGTGATATTTGGGCGTATTATCCTCCGGTGTTCAGCGCGCAACCGAATGCAGGCACGTTTTCTGTGATTTGAATTTTCATGTTCTTTTTTTGGTGTGGTGCAAAGAGAATTTATCTAAATTTGTCTAGCTGTTCTTGAGATTTGCGCTTAAAAATTAGTATGGTATCTTTTTTATATATTTAAATATGTGATAAGGTCTTTTTTCTATCATAAACTTAATGTTATTAATTATAAGAAACACAAATTGTGTCCCAAAAGTAAGGTACCACAGAAAAACAGTTTAACAAAATAACAATCGTTACGCGTTTAAGTCTTTTGTATGGACCTAGAGATGCATTTAAAATTAAATAAATAAATTTATTTGTCTTGTTACAGGAATGTACACGATGCGTATGCTGGACGGCGCAGGACCGCACCATGCTCCTCATCACACCCACTCACACATGATGATAACAGGTTAGTCATCCAAACTATCCAAATCCAAACTAATATTATAAATGCGGAAGTAACTCTGTCTGTCTGTCTCTTCTTCACGCCTAAACTACTGAACCTATTTTTGTGAAATTTGGTACAGACATAGTTTGGACCTCGATAAAGGACATAGGATAGTTTTTAAACCAAAAATCTACAGGAAGTCATTATTCCACGCGGATAAAAACGCGTGTTTACCACAATCTCCACAGACAGGCGGGTTGGAGATCGCAGTTTAAAACGTTCAGGTTTATCAGAGAGCACTATTAAAAATGCAGGGTATATCACACCCACGTGAAGAGGTGTGTCACCAAAATCGTTAGGTGCGTCTCGTGAAAATGGGTGTGTCCCATATTATAAACGTTCTTAAATAACTAGATATATATTGGAATAATCTATTACGTTTTATAAATAATTTATCAAATTCTGTAAGGTAATCAGAATCAGTAATTATGAGTAAACAGGTTTTTCGATTGATATAATTATATGTCTCATTTAATTATCTTCTAAGTCAAAATACACAACTATAGGCACTTTTGAAACTAAATATCATATCATTAGCCTAGGTAGCCACTGCTCGGGTCTGCGGACGGCGAGTAAGGGTAGCTCGCCGTCCGACCAGAACCAGACCCGAGCGTATGGCGCGTAGCGTTCCGCGCGCGCCTCAAAGAGCCAATATACCACCACAGTCGGGGCCCTATAGGGCTGATGTTTAGCCGGGGCTGCGGGGTAAGCGCAATGAGGCACCGCGACCTCGGCCCAGAGCAGGAGAAGGAACGGGGGGTTTTTAGTCAGTAAGAGACTGACACTCTCTCTCGCCTTAACCTGGGCGGGAGAAGTCATTGGGTGATTTTCCCCTGACAAAAAAAAAGGTAGCCACTGCTGAGCAAAGGCCTCTTCTCAAACGGAGAAGGTTTAAGCATTAACCACCACGCTCGCTCAAAGCGGATTGCAGATTTCAAATTCATAATTAGAAGTTACAAGTCTAGGTTTCCTCACGATGTTTTCCTTCACCGTATGTCAGTGGTGTCTAAATAATCATAGAAAGTACATATAACTCGGGAAAAGTCACATAGCTACTGGTAAAATCAGGCGCCTGATAGCCATTTCACACCACACAGATGAATCTTGCTAATATTATAAATGCAAAAGTTGTTGTAGGATGTTTATTACTCAATCACTCCAAAACGTCTGGACGGATCTGGATGAAATTTGGCACAGGCATAGGACGTAGCCTTAGTAAGTTAAAGTGGCAATGGGCAGGGCACATAGCGCGTAGAACCGACGGCCGCTGGGGCAGAAAGGTTCTCGAGTGGAGGCCACGTACCGGCAAGCGCAGCGTAGGACGTCCACCCGCAAGGTGGACAGACGACCTGATCAAGGTAGCAGGAAGCCGCTGGATGCAGGTCGCTTCCAACCGGCCTATCTGGAAGTCAATGGGGGAGGCCTATGTTCAGCAGTGGACGTCCTATGACGATGATGATGACGATGATAGGACGTAGGCTACTTTTTATCAACATGCCGACGCGGGCGAAGCCGCCGGCGGAAGCTAGTAGAAAGTATAAAATTATTTCGTTTTTTTTTTAGAGAGAGATTCCGCCTCGGACAGCGCCGTGTCGTCGATGGGTTCAGAGCGCGTGCCATCGCTGTCTGATGGCGAATGGTGTGATGGTAGCGACTCCGCCCAAGAGTTCCACAGGTAAGGAGAAAATTTTCATTCAATTATCACCTTTATGATGTTCAATTCAAAGTCTAAATCATTTATTCCACCTAAACCATAAATAGGTACTTTTGAAACGTCAAAATAGAAAAGTAGTCGGTCAGTCTGGTCGTCAGTGAAGCTAGATGCTCGTTCTAAGACTGATTGTCAAGTCTAGTATGATTGTATGGTTAAAGCGGTGACTGAAAAGATTATTTTCTGTAATTCCATTTTATTATTCATAAGAAAAATAATCCATTCCATCCCTTTTTAAAAGTGTTTCTATCTCATTCGCACTACAGAAAAATATGACAGACATTTATATAGATAATAATCACTCAATACAAGAAAACAGATGCCTATCAAAAAAACTGTGAAATCATTCAATTAACACAAGTAGGGGTACCCCGAAACTTATCGTTGTATTACGTAAAATTTATCACGAATTCGAACGTGATGACTCGATCAAATTCGAGGTCGAAGACGAAACGTATATAAAACAAAAAAAAACTGTAAAATCATTCAATTAACACAAGTAGGGGTACCCCGAAACTTATCGTTGTATTACGTAAAATTTATCACGAATTCGAACGTGATGACTCGATCAAATTCGAGGTCGAAGACGAAACGTATATAAAACAAAAAAAAAACTGTAAAATCATTCAATTAACACAAGTAGGGGTACCCCGAAACTTATCGTTGTATTACGTAAAATTTATCACGAATTCGAACGTGATGACTCGATCAAATTCGAGATCGAGACGAAACTTATCGTCGTAGGAAACTCCGTTTAGTATATTTATTAGGTAATTAGTACGAAAACAAGAGACAAGAGAAAAAAACTGTCAACTCATCGTATCTAATACGTGTTTTATAAATGACTTGTTATATTTTAGTTATCTGTAAAAGATTATTACTGTGTGTATGTGTATAAATTTTGTTTGTATATGACTTTTAATTTTTTCTTTCTTTTCTGTCCCGTCACGTAGTTCCAAGTTCAGACCTTACGATCATGCCTTCGGTCGAGAACGCTCCGCACCTCACCAGCCACAGAAGAAGCATCATATGTTCGGAAAGAGGTGCTTCCAGGTAAGTTATTTTTTTATGGTATTAATCGGCAAAAGAGCAGACGGATTACCTGATGGTAAGCAATCGGCGCCGCCCATGGCAACACCAAAGGAGTTACAAGTGCGCTGCCGGCCTTTTGGGGATTAGGGAATTTAGAGATTTAGGGATTGGGGGGATTGGAGGAGGGGGAAGGATTGGGCATCTGCTAACCTCACTCACACGGCGAAACACAACGCTGTGGTTGTTTCACGTCGGTTTTCTGTGAGGCCGTGGTATAACTCCGGTCGAGCCGACCCATTCGTGCCGAAGCTTGGCTCTCCCACACTTAAATTAATTAATTAATCAATTTTATCATTATCGCTAATCATCAGAAAGCAACGCTCTAGTAAACTCTATCGTCTATCAGTAATGTCGATTGCTTACCATCAGGTAATCTGACAACTCTTTATATAGTCATATCATCATCAGCCTATAAGTGCCCACTGCTGAGCAAAGGCCTCTTCTCACACGGAGAAGGTTTGAGCATTAACCACCACGCTCGCTCAATGCGGATTGACGATTTCAAACTTATAATTAGAAATTACAAGTCCAGGTTTCCTCACGATGTTTTTCTTTACCGTATCGTCAGTCGTAATATAAGTTTTGCTCAGCAGTGGGCACTTATACGCTGATGATGATGAAATTGCTTTAGGTACTCCATTTTAAAAGAGTAAATAAGTTTAATATCTTTTTTTGTACCTGACATTGCAAGTTTTCTAGAATTTCTTTTGTACCTACGTCTAGATAATTTTTATCTTCACGTCGATAAAAATAAAATACCTCTAGATTTTTTATTCGTGTGCAATGAGCTGAATTTTATTTTTATTCGTCTTCAAACTTATTTTTAGTAATAGCTTTTGGAATAGTGACTTCCTGCAGATTTTTGGTATAAAAACTACCCTACGTCCTTTCTCGCGTTCCAAACTATGTCTGTAGCAAATTAAAAAATATTTGTTAGGTAGTGTTTATTTGGATTTAGAGTGCCGACATACATATGCCGCTTCGCATTTATTGTCATGCAAACTAAACATGTGTACAGAATTACAGCTCAATCAATAGAAAATATCTGCACGTCGATTCTATACAATTTATTTGATTTTGAATCTTGTTCGAGTGTGAAGTGAGCGTCGAAGTGACAGGGATATTACATTATAGAATGCCACTTTTAACGTCATCTCATACTTTATCTATCAAAATGTTGTGGTCAATTTAGTTCAACTCGCAAGTGTAGCGCTAGTGTACTACTTACTACTCACAGCGGATTCAGATTCGAAGTTTAGAATTAAGTCTTACAGAATCACACTGCTGCTTCGTTTATGTGCGAGATTCCACTACACCAATATACTAATTAAAATCATTTTATTTATTTCAATCATGATTCTCTCAACAGGAACAGCCAGCTCCTGCCCTGGATCCTGTCGGTAGACCTGGTGTGGTCAAATACGAGTGTCCAGAACAGACCTACCATCATGAGAATATGCATATGCATAATGGTAAGTTGTGACCATCTTTTTGATCTATGAATCATGACCTCTTAAAGGAAGCTAAGTATATAGAAATATGACTGAACGGTTAACGCGGTGATCAAAGGTCAAAGTCGATATCAAAGGTCATCAAAGGTCTTGACTGCACGGTTTTCGCAGTGGCTAGGCAACTGGCTGCTGTGTAACGTGTCGCGGGTTCGATTCCCGCACGGAACAACGCTTTGTGTGATCCACAAATTGATGAATTTGTATGTTACACGACACAGGAGAAAATCCTAGTGTGGGGCAACGTTTTTTTTAAAAGGAGATAACAATAAAAGAAAAAAAAAAGAAAGGTCAAGGTCAAGGAAACACTTGACAGTCAAAAAAGCGTTGTAAACAAAACACATTTGTTTTTTATTTGGTTATGTTTTTTTGCTGATTTGGTCTTTTCTATAGTGTTACACTGAACTACGTAGAAAGTTTTGAAAAAAAAATCATAGTAACAGAGAAAATAATAAAAGAGAGAGAGAGATACGCTCTATCGATGAGCGATTCTAAAAAAAGAAAGTTTTAATAGAATAACAATAGTAATTACCATAGTTACACATTCACACAAAATAATAATCTTCAAATACAGAATATCAAAAACTAACTTTATTTTTCTCATATTTTCAGTTCCAGACTTTACTTCAAGGCCACAGTTGGCTCCACCCCACGTTACCAACCTCCACGCTCCAGCTTTGGACTTGAACACCGCACACTCGAGTCATGCTTTACTACAGGTACATTTTTATTACTCACTACCAACTCGCTCCGGCTTCGCACGTTTGCGATGCTAAAACTAAATCTCTCCACTATTCTTCTTCAATCACTCTATCTATTAAGAAACCACATCAAAAGCCGTTGCGTAGTTTTAAAGATTTAAGCGTACATAGGGACAGAGAAAGCGACTTTGTTTTATACTATGCAGTTTTTTAGTTATTTTTTTGTAATAAATTAATTAAAGATTAACTTTTTAATAACAATGGCAATCTCTAATTAAAATTCAAAGTGAAATCATTACTTTTAACATAGACTTGTTAGTCCTTTATACTAACTTAAAAATATAACCTCTTTATCATTATTTTCTTTTATTTATACCGGTTTCCGAAAGCCCGATCAATGTTAAAATCAATTTAATCTCTTGTCAAGTCATCTGATTGGTTGACTGTCACATTGTCAACAACCAATCAGATGACTTCACAAGAGATTTAACAGGAGATTCGTTAATTTTAGCGTTGACAAGCATTTGAGAAACCGGACTTACAATTGATTTTTACATTTTTAAATATTCAAAAATATAAAAAGCAGTACTAATTTTTAAACTATCGCGTTCCATATTAACAACATATATTTACAAAATTATTATTTGAATACCTTGGTAGGCTTGGCGTTTCGACCTGGTTGCACAGGTCGTGGTCACAAGCAGACTACAGGGTATTCAAATAATAATTGTCCGCGTTAATACTTGCGTAAATAAAAATGTGGCTGTTGTTAATAAAAAGCAGTATTGTATCGTTACGGGAGGGTTCCAAGCAACCGGTGATCAGGGCTCCAGAGAAAGGAATCTCCGGACAATTGACGCCGTGTCTAGAAGTACAGCTTTCTTACCTCTTTAGAATATTAGTATAGATGAATAATATATGTCATTTTAATTCTCCAAACAGAGCAATATTCCCAGTCCGGCTCCGCCCCGCTTTGCTTACGCGACTCCGGAGAGAGTCCGTCACAACCACACTTACTCAGCGCCCATCGCGGCCGCTGATCAGCGCCCAGCCGCTGTTAGGGACAAGAGAGGTAAGGATATATTATGAAAATATTTTGTTTTTTTTTTGTAGGTAAAGGATTTTGTGTAGACCCATATTATTAAATCATACATTATTTTGTTATATTTCAAAGGGTTTATACAGCTTTTTCGATAAAATCTTCCAGGTAACATATTTTTTTCCGACATTTTCGATAAATTTCGCTACTTATACGGTTTTAACCCTGGATGATGGGGATAACAACAACCTATGTGGTAATCCAGAGTATTCACTATCTTAATACTAAATTTCAACCAAATTAGTCAAGCCATTTTTGCGATAAAGAATAACAAATCAATATCAAAACACAATTTATAACGTAATTTTTGGCTATCAAGTGTCATATGACCTTGACCTTGACTTTAGATGTTGACTTTGACCTTCAAAACATCGATTTTGTTTACAGTGCGGCGTCTGACAGACGGTAGCATGTCAGATGGTGGTTCTTCAGCTACAAGCAGCGGACAACATCTATCGAGAGACGAGAAAAGAGCTAAAGCACTAGGTAAGGACGAATACTTATTGAAAATGTGTTTTATTTGCAACGCTGTAAGGCTTATTTTCGTATAGCAAAATTGTTATTTTTTGGTACTGTGTTTTGTTTTGTTGAAAAGTAGATTGTATTGTATCATTGTTAAAGTTCATTTTTAGACACGTTGTTAACATCTATAATAGTTAATAAAAAATGTACTTAAAAGTAAATTGTAATACCCATAGTCTGTTTTTAAAACAATCAAACATTTTTTTCAATTTTGTTTCTCTATACCTGTCTCTCTTTATTTTTCAGTCTCCCTGACTGTCTCTCTCAGTTTAAAAACTAAACAATTCTAATTCTATACCGCTCCCCCCTCCTCTTTTCTATATCTCTCTTCCTCTCTCGCATAAAAACACAAAACAATTACTTTCGCCTCAAACCCCAATAGCTTTCTAATCAGAAATATGCTTATAAATATTTAACAAAAAAACCTTTTTATCTTCTATTTTCTCATAAAAGTCATATCTCTACTTATCCTCTTCGAAATGTCCACACATTAACCTGTCCAAGTGATTGCAGGGATTCCCTTGGAAGTTCAAGACATCATCAATCTACCGATGGACGAGTTCAACGAACGCCTCTCCAAACACGACCTCAGCGAGGCCCAGCTCTCGCTTATAAGGGACATACGGAGACGTGGCAAGAATAAGGTGAGTTGATAGTCACATTTTTGAAGGTCAAAGTCGAAAGTGTAAGTCAAGGTCGAAATGCTGAAGGTCGAGGACAAAAGTTTTTGCTTTGGCGATTGTCGTTGATGATAAAAAAATTGATTTTATTGCACTATATAATATAAATGTAGTCATTATAAAAGTTTGAAAAATTTTAATAAAAAATTAAAATTCCCTAACTAAATCAAATGAATCTTAACTTCCATCAATGGCAAAGTCAAAATCAAGGTCAATATTCGAATTGCACTTATTTTCATATCTAACTATTAAATATCATATCGCATCTTCACAACTAAAATCACACCCCAATCTCAAATCTCCAGGTAGCAGCCCAGAACTGCAGGAAACGCAAACTGGACCAGATCACATCGCTCGCCGATGAGGTCCGCACAGTGAGGGACAGGAAACAGAGGACACAGAGGGAACATAGCTCTCTGCTAGCCGAGAGGCAGCGTGTGAAGGAACGCTTCGCGGCATTGTACAGACATGTTTTCCAGGTTGGTTTTTCTATTACCTAGCTTATATTAACCTAGGTTCACTGACGAACAGACTGACAGACTACTATTCTATTTTGACTGCACGGTTGGTGCCGTGGCTGGGCAATTGCCTGCCGCGCAACGTGTCGCGGGTTCGATTCCCGCACGGAACAACTCTTTGTGTAATCTACAGATTGTTGTTCCGGGTCTAGGTGTGACCCACGACACAGGAGAAAATCCGAGAGTGGGGCAAAGTTCTCTTAAAAAAAAAATTGACACATCGAAAGTACCTTTTATTGTTTACTTGGAATAAATGATTTTGACTTTGATTAAATGCATTAGTTAAAAGTCAATGTCAAAAGTCAAAGTGAAGGTCAAGGTCAGAAGTTGTATGTATTTTTTATTAAAAGTCAATTTTTTATGCTAGAGTAAAAAAAATTTAAGTATATTTTTTCTTATTTTAAATAGATTTTTTTTTATAGTATAACTCATAATTTAGCTAAAATCACCCTTGTCCTCGTGTATTTAAAGTTCACTTTCCCTCGACAGAACCTCCGCGACCCTGAAGGTAGACCGCTATCCTCCCAACAATACTCCCTGCAACAAGCCGCCGATGGAAACGTCGTACTCGTTCCCAAGATGCCACAGCACCAAGGTAAGGGAATTTCGTCTTTATTCCTTAATGTTTAGAGGTCATTTTGGCATACTAATTTTGTTGATCATGAACCTTTTTTTTTTCAATATTAGAATTTTAAGGGAATTTAGTCTTTATTTCTTAAAGCGTTAAGGTCAATTTATGTTGATGATTTGGTTTCAGTCGTGATCTTTTGTTTTCAGTAGCGAATTAGAATTTATTCTTGTTTAGCCAATTTGAAATTAAATAATAATAATTTTAAAGTATATTTTCGTATATGAAATTTATAATTTCACAACGTGTAGAGTTTCTTACACATACATTTTTCATTTTTAGGGCTGATTTCTCATAATTAGATAAAAGTTACCTGGGGAATAATTATGATGCTGTCGCGTCAGAATGTTTGTATTAGACAGTGACAGCAACAATTTTATTCCTCAGATAACATTTATCTGACTATTGACAAATCAGCACTTAATCTCATGTCTAAATAACTCCAAGCCAATATCAATAATAATATACCGCGGCCTTGGCCTAAAGCAGGAGAAGGAACGGAGGAGGTATTTAGTCAGTAAGAGTCAGACACTCCCTCTCGCCTCATCTTCAATGATCCAGTATTACAAAGTCATCAAAATGATAAATGATGTTTTTATTTTAATTACAGACCACCCAATGAACCGTACTTCCGACGATGATATGGACAGAAAAGCCAAGAGCTACGACCAGTGATTCCGCCTAACTAGTTCCCGAGATGGTAATACATATACACACATACAAGACTTGGACAACGCAATAATTGTTAATATACAACTTGAAATAGTCTATAAATAAAAATTACTTTAAAAAAAACTACCATTTTAACTGTATTTTTTTATCTGTGAAAAATTATAAACGTCAAAATTAATTAAACTAACGATATTAGACCTTATAGCGTTTACAATAAATACATTATTTCAATAACTTATAAATAAATAAGGCCTAAAAGTATACAACCTCTTTTGTCATTCTACAATTTAATAATAATACAAATAAAAAAATAAAATTGTCAGATTCGATTTTTCAAAATGTGACAGCTGACGTTTAATTGATTTTGACGTTTGACGGGAAAATATACTGCTTTACCAAGTATTCCGTGTTACCAAAACTGTTAATAGGATATTTTTTTTTTTTAGTTAATTTCGATGTCTCAAAAACTAACTTTTTAATAGATTATGTTTTACTATCCGATCGTGCATTAAGACCTAAACATTTAATTTTTAATAAAACACACACAGTATTGAAATCGATTTTAATATTGATTTTCATAAAATCCTTACTTATTGTACATTTCTTTATTATTCCAACTCCTCCATAATTGTTTTGGTAGAAAAACAATTATCTTAGTAATGTCCCAAGTAATTAATAAGCGAATTTTTGTGACGAATACTTTTGTTTCTGGCTCCTATAGTCACTCAAGATACGCTCACTGAAGCTTTTTGAAAATTTTTCTTTGACTTTAAAAAAAAAACGTTACCCCACACTTTTTTTGTGAGGGGAAAATCATCAAATGACTTCTCCCGCTCAGGGCCGGACGGGAGGGAGTGTCAGACTCTTACTGACTAAAAAACCCCCGTTCCTTCTCCTGCTCTGGGCCGAGGTCGCGTTGCCTCATTTCGCTTACCCCGCAACCCCGGCTGACCCCACACTAGGATTTTCTCCAGTGTCATAGAACAAACATACAATTTCACATACACATCACACCCAGACCCGGAAACACAATTTGTAGATCACACAAAGAGTTGTTCCGTGCGGGAATCGACCTCGCGACACGTACACTGCGACAATCATAGTCACTCTAGATTACAACAATGAAATAAACAGAAAAACTAAACACACTAGTGAACAAGACTTTTATAGCAATGTACAATACGGCTGACAATCACGCTGCCATGAAAGTCGTCGTATTGTCACGTCGCTACAGTGAGCGAGCCCCCCTATAACCTTCATTGCCATCAACTTAGTGACAAAAAGTAAAAAAAAATGGTCGAGTCTAAACAACTCGACTCTTAAAATAACGAAAAGCGTTGATTTTGTGTTATTTTAAAAACAATATTGAAGATTACAATGTTAAAATCGATTTTAAAACGAAAAAAATACTTTTGAATTTAACATTAGGCCACTGTTTTTATTACCTATTCAATAGTTTTAAAATAATCAAGTATCCCGAGTTTTTAAAACAGCCGCTTTTAAATTGAAAGCAATTTTTTATAGCCTAGGTATAGCACTCGGGTACATTGTAGCTATCTATATAGTGAAAGAATTTTGGCAACCCGACCAGCGGTTCCAAAGATTACCCCCTACATACAAACTTACAAATTTTACCTCTTTATAATATTAGTATAGATAAAAATCACGAATAGGAGCCGATCAATGAAGTCGCGTATAATTGCTTCAATGAATAATAAAAGTGGTCTAATTTTTAGTTCAACAGTAAAAACATTGCCTACGAACAAAAAATCCGACTTTTCAAAGTTCGGAACACATAGAAAAACTTATGATTTTACATGTATTTACTTAAGTTGGTACACATTAAATAAAATATAAGTGTCCCATCAAAAAAGCATAATAGATTTTAAGAAAGTGTTTAAAAAAAACAAATTAAAAAAAAACGAAGAAAAATTTACATTTGTGATATTTATAAAAGAATTCCATTTTATTTTAGTTTATGTGATTAGTGGTTTTTGGAAAATGATTTCGTTTTTCGTTGAGTTTTTTTTTATAAAAGAATTTTCTTGGCTCTTGCTTTTAGTGCTAGGAATGTATTCTTAGTCTCTAGGAATGTATTCTTAGTCTTATAAGAGCCCACAGCTAAGCAAAGGCCTCTTCTCACACGGAGAAGGTTTGAGCATTAACCACCACGCTCGCTCAAGGCGGATTGGCGATTTCAAACTTATAATTAGAAATTACAAGTCGAGGTTTCCTCACGATGTTTACCTTCACCGTATGTCAGTGGTGTCTAAATAATCATAGAAAGTACATATAACTTGGAAAAAGTCACATTGTTTTAGCGCCCTCACGCATGATAAGCGGCCTCTTTAGCTCTGGGTTACAATGACTACGCCCCTTACCTATTTCTTTAGCGTAAACCATATCGAATGCTAAAAAGAAATGACTTTTGTAAAAAAAATTGAGTAAAAATTGATTTTCTTGATTTTTTTGTTTGAAAAAAAAGTTTTTTCCGTAATGTCTGATAAGAGCCTTGTAGAAAATTTGATTTTTTTCTCTCTCATTTATTTATGTATCTTTATTGATAATATCAACTTTTTAATTGTTCCATACTAGTGTGAAACTGAAAAACGACTGAAAAAAAATGAACTATCATTATGATGAAAAAAATATTTACTTAGATTTTTTGTAAAGATTAAAAAAATGGACGTCGTTTGAAAAAACGACGTCCATAAATGGGTTGCAATAATATAATATTAAGAAAAAAAAAATATGCTTTTGTAAAATATCAATTTTTTGCCCTTATTATTTAAGTTAGGTGTAAGTTTACTTTTTAATTTTATTTAATTTAAACGAAAAAAAAATGTTATTTCTTGTTTTTTTATGCTTAGTGTGTAAGTTAGTTTCTAGTTTTAACGTCAGCTTAAAATATTGGGAAAAAAACATTTAATAAATATTTTTTTTATAACATATAGGTGTAAGTTTTTTTTTATATAAACCATAACTTCTGTTTGACAGTTTTTTTCGGACTGTCGGCTAATTCTCAGATTTTGAGACTCTATAAAGAAATAAATCGCCTTTTTTTGTAAAAAAAATAAGTCTTTTTTTACCAAAATTGGTGATTTTTTGCCTTGTCCTTAAGTTTACCGTTTGGTATTCGAGTTAAAATAACTAAGCTGTTAAATATTAAGTTATTTTTAACTGGTACCAATAATTTTGAGCTGATCAATTCAATAAATTATAGTAACTATAATTTCTATTTTTAAGTTAAACCATTGATAGTAACAATTTAAACTATAATTTTAACTACGGGTTCAGATTTTTAACCTAACTTTTCATAAAGTCCGACCTTATCGACAGAACACTGTTATTCGAAAATGAACATTAATACTTCGACGAATAAGGTTGATAACTGTGTGTATAACGGCGATGTTTAGTGTATATTTTCTCCTATGGATGATAAGCGAAAATCGCTCTTAATGAAATTGTAGCTCGATTTGTTACTACCAGTTGTACTGTATGTATGAAAATAAAAATATCTATAAAAATAAAATTATGATATTTGTCGAAAAAAGTTTTTTTTATTTTTTTCTGACCCTCGTTAAAGAAATAATAATATTAATATTAAGGTGAAAAAAAGAACTTGGAAATATTAATTTCAACTAAAAGATTAAGAAAAAAATCTTTTTTTTTCCAATGATTTTTAAATATATTTCTCATTGAAAATATTAAAGGCATTTATACCACAAATATTGCAAAGTTACGCAAAAAAATAGTCAAAAAAGATAAAGTTTTTGACAAATATCATAAGATTCTTTTTCTGTACAATCCATTACTTTCCAACTAGTCAAATTCAATACCTACTTTTATTGAAATATCAAAATAAAAAATAATACTTTTCTATGAATTTTGAGATCGCAACATCATACGTCATAACGTCATAGTCATTTTACGTCAAACAGCATACTTATTTCACAAAATAATTATTAACAAAACATCTAAAATGAAGTAGGTATATCGTAAAATCAATTAATTAAAATATGATTACATTTATTTTCTCCTGTGTCGTGGTGCGTTTACAAACATACCATTTCACAAACCTAGACCCAAGGAACAACAATTTGTGGATCACACAAAGAGTTGTCCCGTGCGGGAATCTAACACGCGACGCGTTGCACATTAGCCAATTTACTAACCACTGTGCAGATCAATCTATTTATTATTAGATGTATTATTTAAGTTTTTGTAATTTATAGGCAACGGGTAGAGCATTTTTAAGTAAAGTTATTTTTATTATAATAATAGAACCAAGCTATACGAATTCTGGCTGTGGGTCATTCTTTAGAAATAATTGCTAAAAATAAAATAAAAATGTCTTTTTTTCTGTCTTTTTTTTTAATTCACAAATTCTTGACTTTGTTTACGTTTGAATATGAGTTTTGTTTATGGCAAAAAAATCTCATGAAAATAACGAAAAACTAGTATTATTTTCGATGTATAAGTAAATTGAAGAAAGCTAAAGAAAATACTACTTTTTTTTTTTGTTAAAATATTTAAATGAGTTTAATTTTAACGTAAAACTATTACATGATAACAGTAGTTATGGTTGAACATTTTTATGTATATTCTCATATTTGATTTTATATTGTAGAAACATAAAAAACATGTTATGTATTTTCCTTTTCAAAATTCTTAGCAAGAATTTTCCTGCGAAGCAAGAATTAATATATTTTCTTGCCTAAACAGTTACCAAGTTGACTTGTAAAAATATTATTTTTCTTGCATGTTCTTGCTTTTAAAACACTGTATATAACTATTTCAACGCCCTGTTTAGCTGTTGTATAAAATATTAGAATTAATGGACTGATTTTCAATGGTTAGATAAAAGTTACCTGGGGAATAATTATGATGCTGTCGCGTCACAATGTTTGTATAAGACAGTGACAGCAACAATTTTATTCCTTAGTTAACATTTATCTGACTATTAAAAAATCAGACCTTAATGTGATTTAAGTTAAACTTTAAGTTAATAGATCTAAGGTAACATTTAGACTGTAAGAAAGTACCTAATAAAGAGTATGGCAATTTTAATAATTAGGTACTATGTTTTATTTATTTCATTAACTTAGTAACTTTTATGCTAAATGCACCATAATAATAATTTGCTGTCTACATAGCGTAAGCGCATAGCGTAGCTAAGCGTAAAGAGATTTTTTATATGTTAAGCCGGCAAACGTGCACACGGATTACCTGATGGTAAGAAATCAGCCATGGCAACAATGGTACGTGTTCGGTGCCGACATTTTGGTGAGAAGCGTTTTGGAAATTTAGGGATTGGTCGTTTCATCGTAGGTCGCATCATCGCTTTCCACCAGGCGTGATAACGGCCAAAACACAACATGTTTGGAGAACTATCAATCACTACTTCTACCGGACGAAGGTCAAGTGTCATTAAACCATTATTTGTTTTCTTCCTATGACCAACTCTTGAAAATCCAATCGGTCCCTAAGTACGACGCTTGAGTAACAACAAAATTCGTATCCTGGGCTTCCCAACTATAGCTATATATACATACATACTATATATACTAAGTATATAACCCTCAACTGATCCGAAAAGATCAGACAAGATCCTTTTTCTGGCTTTTGTCGATTGAGAGTGCACTGAATTATTGTTGTACCTACCAGGGCATTTATATGGAATAGGAGGCAAATGAGTAAACGGATCACCTGATGGTAAGTGATCAGCACCGCCCATGGACACCCAGAAACACCACAGAAGAAAACAGGCAACGCGACCTTGGCCTAGATCAGGAGAAGGAACGGGAGGTTTTTAGTCAGTAAGAGTCTGACACTCTCTCTCGCCTTACCCTGGATGGGCGACAAGCATTTGATAATTTTCCCTCTGCAAAAAACAAGCCAATTCAACAAGATGAATGGGATGAATGGTGCTTTCGTTTTGGAGTTCATGTAAGACCTTTTATAAAATAAATATTTGCTAATTCTAAGAAATGGTGCAAGCGACCTTGACTGAAGTGGATCATTTAATATTTCATAATTCAGAATATTATATTCTAATTTAATATTAGTAATAGTCTGTCAAAAAAGGATATTCTCATTTTAGTGTTAGTGGAGCGCCAGATTTAGGTACTAATGGATCGGCTCACCGGAGTTACACAACGGCCTTATATGTAGAATTCCGGCGTAAAACACGTTGTATTTCACCGTGTAAGAGCCTGATCCCCCCACAAAGGTAAGTAATGCACTCGTAACTCCTCTGGTGTTGTGGGTAAATATTGACCAAACAGCTTGCTTTACCATCAAGGCTTTTAAGTTTTAAGGGCTAATTTTCCAACAGTCAGATAAATGTTATCTGAGGAATAAAATTGTTGCTGTCACTGTCTTATACAAACATTGTGACGCGACAGCATCATAATTATTCCCCAGCTAACTTTTATCTAACCATTGAAAAATCTGCCCTAAGAAATATAAATGAAACAAAACCAATCTCACTTTATTGTCTTTTATTAACTTACCAAAAATAATACATAATTCTAATACATCAAACAGAAAAAAAATACACACATTCATTCTTACTATAGAAACTATATATTCTCAAACATTGACAGTTTACAATTACAAATATTTTTACAAGTTTTTGTTTAATTCACAATGTTTTAGCTTTCCTCCTCCTCACGCCCCAGCCGCCGCAGTAGGCGACATTCCGGGCGTTCGGGGATCAAGAGACGATCTCCGGCCACCGTAAGCGCGGGTCTGCGGTCGGCGAGTAAGGGCAGCTCGCCGCCCGACCAGAACCAGACCCGAGCGTACGGCGCGTAGCGTTCCGCGCGCGCCTCTAAGAGCCAATAGACCACCACAGGCGGGGCCCTAAAGGGCTGATGTTCAGCCGGTGTCACCCTACGTATCAATACCTTGTTTTGAAAAAGGTTTAGATTTATTTCTCAACACTAGATGGCGCCAGTCTTGCATAAGGTAAAACAAACCTTATGCTAGACTGGCGCCATCTATAAATGTAAAAGTGTGTTTTAATATTTCATGCTTTCACGAAAATCGGCTAAATTTAAATTTGGTATGTAGATCTCTATAGGTGATACCCTAGATAAGCATAGGCTACTTTTTATTGCAAGAACTCGGGCGAAGCCGCGGGCAGAAGCTAGTGTAGCTATAGGTAATTTCTTAGACGAATAGATTATAGATATATATTTATGTCAGCTTGAAGTTGTCAAAGGTCGCATTGGCAGTGGCACGGACACTGGATCGCTCAATTCCCTATAATATGGTTGAGTTGAGCGATGCTAGTGTACGTGTCATGTTCGTGAACGGACGTCAATTGGGACTGGTCAACTCGAGACTGTCTAAATATGTTGTCCTTGAGATTATTTTCTTTTGGCTAAATATTAGTGTTACACTGTTCCTACATAATAGAACCAACTAAATGATGTAACAAAGAAATGTATTGTAAAACTGATTGAAAAAGAGTAACCATGGAGTTTGTTGCTCGTTCTTCTCCATAGGAATCTACACTTTGGAACGAGCAAATAGCTTCACTAGAGGTCTGTCTGACACACTCAAAGTTGAACTTTTTTATATTTATTTTGTTTGTTTGACGTCCAAAATGCCTATAGTCTATCTAAACTAATGTTGTAAATGCTAAAGTAACTCTGTCAGTCTGTTTGTCTGTCTGTCTTTTCTTCACGCCTAAACTACTGAACCGACATAATTTGGAACTCGAGAAAGGACATAGAACAGTTTTTATACCAAAAATCTGCAGGAAGTCACTACTCCACGCGAACGGAGTCGCGTTTGAAATATATGATTAGAATTTTTGACTTATTTGACGATAGGACGAGAGATCTTAAGTTTAAGGCTTCGAAGCCTGGCAAGTACCAATGTGACTTTTTCCGAGTTATATGTACTTTCTATGATTATTTAGACACCACTGACATACGGTGAAGGAAAACATCGTGAGGAAACCTGGACTTGTAATTTCTAATTATAAGTTTGACATCGGCAATCCGCCTTGAGCGAGCGCCGTGATTAATGCTCAAACCTTCTCCGTGTGAGAAGAGGCCTTTGCTTAGCTGTATGCACTTATAAGTTGATGATGTGATGTGAGCAAAAAAAAAACAGAAGTTCCTTATAATAACTGATCTTTATTGAAAATCTGTGAATCGATCTAAAATTTTCGAAAGAAATTAAAGTCTATTTTGCAAGCAATGATTGAGATCGACTATATGTATTATTAACTCTGGCCTTCTAACGAAATCGAGTTGGTGTATACAGAATGAAGGTTTTCTGAAACGTTCCGAGAGATGGCAGCTCTGTAGCGTTAGGTCCAACCACCTGTAAAAACACATACACTATTTATTATTTGGTCAATTTTTGATAATAATATCCTACAGTTGGTCTAAAAAGAGGGATTGTGGAAATGAACAATTTATGCAAGTGTAGGAGAGCCATGCTTCGGCACGAATGGGTCGGCGCGACCGGAGTGATACCACGGCCTCACAGAAAACCGGCGTGATATAACCAGAGTTGTGTTTCGGCATGTGAGTGAGGTTACCGGAGGCCCAATCCTTCCCCCCCCCCAATCCCTCCTCAATCCCTAAATGTCCAAATCCAAAATTAAGACGAAAAGCTGTTACGACACTTTGTGCTGTTGCTCTTGTTCTTATTCTTTCTCTCTTTCTTTCTCTTACTTACTCAATCTCTCTTTCTCTATCTTACATACTCTATCTCTCTCTTACATACCCTGTCGCTCTTACTCTATCTCTCTATCTCTCTTTCTCTCTCTTACGTACTCTATCGCTCCTACTCAATCTCTCGCTCTTACTCTCTATCTCGCTTCTACTCTTTCTTTCTAGCTTTTAGACAGCAAGCGAGTGAGTTATTTTCGTGCCCTCTTTCTATTTCGCATTGAACAATGTACCTATAGGTTTCTTTTCCACAATCCCACACTTTAGACCAGCTATGGAACATTAATACCATACATATATCTTCTTTTTTCAATTCTTCAATCACTTACCAAACCGGGCACTGAACTGATGGACCAGAGCTTAATGTTGTCGCTTATGACCCTGCAAGTTAGGTGAGTGTTCCCGTCGTCGCTTCCGTCTAGCTGGGGCGGAGTGTACTAGGCCTGCGTGCGCCTGCGCTGCTAGCAACATGCCTAGTTGGCCTTGAGCCTGTAGGATAGATAGCAAAAATTATATTATCTGTTCAGTATGCTCGTATTACCATTTTCGAGGAAGCCCCGATTACTTCCGAGCATAAATGATATTTATTACCTGGATTTGTACGTGGGTGTAGAAATAAAATTATATTATTTTCGGATAACCCTTAAGTTTCTATAACAAAAAAAGAAGTATTTTCTCCTGTGTCGTGAGTAACAAACATACAATATCACATGTACATCACACCCAGACCCGGAAAACAAGCCGGCAACGCACTCGTAACTCCTTTAGTGTTACGGTTGTCCATGGGCGGCGCTGATTACTTACCATCAGGTAATCCGTCTGCTTTTACCGATCTATCTCATAAATATATATTAATTAATTTCTAGTTTCATTCATCCGGCTTTATCTAGTTTTCTTAATAAAAAATTATAAGTGTGGGAGAGCCATGCTTCGGCACGAATGGGTCGGCTCGACCGGAGTGATACCACAGCCTCACAGAAAACCATAGTGAAATAACCACAGCGTTGTGTTTCGCCGTGTGAGTGAGGTTACCGGAGGCCCAATCCTTCCCCTTCCCCTTCCTCAATCCCTAATCCCTAAAAGGTCGGCAACGCACTCGTAACTCCTCCGTTGCGGGTGTCTATAGGCGGCGCTGATTACTTACCATCAGGTAATCCGTCCGCTCGTTTGCCGACCTATTCCATAAAAAAAATTTGGAAAAATTATTTTTTTCATACCTCGGCATGCATATCCTTGGCCATAGTGTACACGCTGTGTTCACTACTGTTATACATGAGAGCGTTCGATAGCATTAGTAGCACGTCACGTTGAAACTGCGCTGTGGTCCTGCGAAATCAAGGTCAAGGTCATTATTTTAAAGGTCAAGGTCATTATTTTGAAGGTCAAGGTCATTATTTTGAAGGTCAAGGTCGAAATTGAAAAAATGTTGGTGTATCTAAATAACTGTGACTTCAGAGGTAGTCAGAGACGGACAGTAATTCAAAGTCAAATTAATAAGTAAAAATCGAAGTTCAATTAAGTTAACCTTTAACATTTTATAAAAAAAACTAGCTACACCCGCGCAGTTTCACTCGCTGCTCGGCTGCATTTGATCGTAGCGTGATGTTATATAGCCTATAGCACTCGCGAACATTGGAGCTATCTATCAGTGAAAGAATTTTGGCAATCCGACCAGCGGTTCCAAAGATTACCCCCTACATACAAACTTACAAATTTTACCTCTTATTCAAACATTAAACCTTGGACAGGTTCAAAATCCAATTCGAAGGTCAAGGTCAGAATTCAATCTCGAATCCAAACTAATATTATAAATTCTAAAGTAACTCTGTCTGTCTGTCTTTTCTTCACGCCTAAACTACTGAACCGATTTCTGTGAAATTCGGTACAGACATAGTTTGGAACTCGAGAAAGGACATAGGATAGTTGTTATAGCAAAAATCTGCAGGAAGTCACTATTCCACGCGAACGGAGTCGCGGGTTTTTATGCCAAAAATCTGCAGGAAGTCACTATTCCAAGCGAAGGAAGTCGCGGGAAAGTCTTGAATATTAAGAAAACAGTACCTTATAACGCCGGAGTCGATGTTTTTCCTGATGGTCGTGAGGTCCATGGGTCGTTTGACCACCATGCTGTACCCTGGAGCCTCTTCATCGCTGATGGGGCGAAGAAACAGCGACGCATACTTGTGAGTGCATAACCTAGGACAAATGCATTTTACGTAATATCTATTAATTATTTAAACTAGCTATTCACCCGCTGCTCAGCTCCACTTAATCGTAGCGTGATGTTTTACAGCATCTTTTATAGGGATACACCCCTACTAAAATGGCAAAATGAAAGGAAATAAATTTATGACGTCACATTTTAAAATCTATTACAATCTACGCGGCCATTAAGCCAATACTATACAAATATTATAAAGGGGAAATATTAGATTTATGTTTTGAGTTAGTATTTAAAAGGCTCCAAAATTTAATTTAATTGCAAAAGAAAGGTTTCTTTTTGTTTTTAAAAAACGTTGCGCCACGCTAGTGTTTTCTCCTGTGTCGTGGGTGCGGTTACAAACTTACAATTTCACATACGCATCACACCCAGACCCGGAACAACAATTTGTAGATGTTTGCGATGTGTGTTGAAGAGTTGTTTCGTGCGGGAATCGAACCCGCGACACGTTGCGCGTCAGTCAGTTGCCCAGCCGCCGCGCCAATCGTGCAGTCAGTCATCAAGGTATTCGAAACGAGGTGATCCGACTGAGAACTAAAGTTGTCGACATAGCCTAAAAGAGCCTATAGACTACCACAGACGGGGCCCTATAGGGCTGATGTTCAGCCGGGGTGGAGGGGTAAGCGTAATCAGGCATCGCGACCTCGGCCCAGAGCAGGAGAAGGAACGGGGGGTTTTTAGTCGGTAAGAGTCTGACACTCTCTCGCCTTACCCTGGGCGGGAGAAGTCATTTGATGATTTTCGCCGTGTGAATGAGGTTACCGGAGGCTCAATCCATCCCCACATCATTACCCAATCTTTAAATATCCGCAACCCTTATTCCTAAAACGTCCGGCAACGCACTCGTAACTTTTTTAGTGTTGCGGGGGTCCATGGGCGGCGCTGATTGCTTACCATCAGGTAATCTGTTTGCTCGTTTGCCGACCTATGATGAAGTAAAGATGTTTCAAAGCATCCTACCTGCTGTAGACGAGCATGACGGACTTCTTCCACAAGCGATGCTGTCTGTCAACGTCGCAGCCCCCCGGGGACTCCGCCCCGCTGGCCTCCGCCGCGCTCTCAGACCCTGAGCAAGCTGACATACAGACACAAACATATTAGAACACTTATAAATCCTACTAATATTATAAATATAGATGTATGTTTGTTATTCACTCACGCAAAAACGGATGGACCGATTAAGTTGAAATTTGGTGTGTAGATAGGTCAACATAACGTGCAGGCGAAGCCGCGGGCAGAAGCTAGTATTATAATAAGTGTGGGAGAGCCATGCTTCGGCACGAATGGGTCTACTCGACCGGAGTGATACCACGGCCTCACAGAAAACCGGCGTGAAACATCCAGTACGTTATCTAGGTGAGGTTAGCGGAGGCCCAATCCTTCCATTCCCTTATCCCTCCCTCGGAGATACTACTCTGGGTTTGCGAGTGTCTATGGACGGCGCCGATTGCTTACCATCAGGTAATCCGTCTGCTCGTTTAAAGATACAACTTACTTCTAGAATCCGATTTCTTCTTGCGCGAGTAATCCCTCTTCTTCTTGCCATCTTTCTCTTCTTCTCTGCTCAACTGAAAAGTTAAAGTAAAATCATTAATTTGAATTGGCCATTATACGCACTTTTAAACGTCAAACAAATATTTTAAGATAAAAAGTGTCAATCTGTCGGTCAGTCCTCTAGTGAAAATTGTATTGTATTATATATTTCCAAAGTGTAGATTCCTATGGAGAAGAACGAGCAAAAAACTCCATGGTTACTCTGGAAGAAGTCGGATTATTTTCAATGAATTATTTTGTAAATTTTCGTTCATCGAATCCATTACTTCAACACCAGGATTGATCCTTGCTTCGGCACGAATGGTCCTCCTCATCCTTCTTTGCGAGCAAGACTGCTTCGCAGAAGAGGAGACGGATTCCCAGTTCCTCTCAGTCCGCACCATGGCCTCGACTAAGGCCGGATGCGAGAGGTCAAGTATAACGGTGGTGACACGTTTTAAGTGTGGGAGAGCCATGCTTCGGCACGAAAGGGTCAGCTCGACCGGAGTGATACCGCGGCCTCACAGAATACCGACGTGAAACAATTACAGCGTTGTATTATGCAGTCTAATTTAGGTTACTTGACACTCTATAGCTTTCCATCCTACAATCCCTAACAACCCACAAGAGGTCGGCAAGCACTTGTAGTAGCTCCTTTGGTATAACGAGTGTTCATGAGCGGCGCTGATTGCTTACCATCAGGTAATCCGTCAGCTCGTGTGCCAAAAATAAAGAGGTAAAATTTGTAAGTTTGTATGTAGGGGATAATCTTTGGAACCGCTGGTCGGATTGACAAAATTCTTTCACTGATAGATAGCTACAATGTTCCTGAATGCTATAGGCTATAAAACATCACGCTACAATCAAATGGAGCCGAGCAGCGGGTGAAACCGTGCAAGAGTAACTAGTGTCCCATAAAACAATTACCTCCATAGGCGTATCATCATCTGTCTCAGTATGCGCGTCTTCTACATCAGTCTTCTCTCTTTCTTCTTTCACTTCTGCTTCTTGAGCGACGGGGAGAGATTCTTCTTTTATCATCTCTTTTAGAGGGATCGAGTCCTGGAAAGACAATTAGAAGTTTATATTAATCTATCTATCTTCTAATATATAAAAATGGATCGCAAAGTTGGTAAGCGCATAACTCAACAACGCCTGAACCAATTTGGCCAATTCTATTTTTAAAATTCTTACGGAGAAAAAAAAAAGAATAATTGCCGGGAAAACCCTAAACAGCCCTTTTTTCAATCAAAAATTCAATTTGAGCTTTATTGCTATTACAATAAAGTTCACATTAAATAACAAGCACTCACTGTGTTCTAAGAAATGTAGGTGAGTTCCTAACGTCAAAAAGTAAACTTTGCACTAGCACTTTCCTACCAGTGTACAAAGTTCAAATTCAATCATATCTATCAAAACAGTGTGTGTGATATAAATATATCAAAATAATTAAATACAACATCATTTAGTTTTTTATTTAATTATTTTTAATTAACACCAGTGTCGGTTCTGTTCAGTATATTTTTTTGCAAAGAATATAAAAAAGGTAGGAACAAAACACTGCTTCATTACAAATTTTTTTCACAGGACGAAGTCTGTCGTGTCAGCTAGTATTTATGTAAAAATCAATGCTACTTTTCGTTGTAATGTTATAACTCAACAATGCCTTTACCGATTTGGTTAATTTTGGTCATCAATTAGTCGTGGAAGTCCAGAGACGGTTTAAAAGTCAGTCAAACAACTTAATTTTGAGGCGGAACGAAGCTTGCGAAGTCAAAAACGAAATTGACGAAAAAGTATTTTTTTGGTAAATTTCGTTTATAATGAGTGCATTATCGAAACCTGGCGAGTACCAATGAGACTTTTCCGAGTTATATGTACTTTCTATGATTATTTAGACACCACCGACATACGGTGAAGGTAAACATCGTGAGGAAACCTGGACTTGTAATTTCTAATTATAAGTTTGAAATCGTCAATCCGCCTTGAGCAAGCGTAGTGGTTAATGCTCAAACCTTCTCCGTGTGAGAAGAGGCCTTTGCTCAGCATAGACTGATAATGATAACAGGTAAAGCCAAACATACCTCAGACTCTTCATCCTTCTTAACCTCTTCTGCGGTCTTCTGTTCTTCTCTGATTACTTCTTCTCCTTTTTCCATCATTTCTAACTCCCTCTCTATGTTGTCTGCGTGTACTGGTTCAGGTAAAGATGGGATTTGCGGCTCTTCTTTTGGGGGTGGTGGGGGCTCTAAGAAGGTAAAGAAGAAAGAATTTTAGCTGCCTGTTCTTTAATGTGGGAACTACTGTCTACTTACCCCATGAGACAAGTTTAAGTGTGAGAGAGCCATGCTTCGGCACGAAAGGGTCGGCTCGACCGGAGTCATACCACGACCTCAAAAAAAACCGGCGTGAAACAACCACAGCGTTGTATTTCGCCGTGTGAGTGAGGTTACCGGAGGCCCAATCCTTACCCTCTCTCATCAACTCCAAATCCCTTATTTTCCGAAACCCCTATACCTAGAATCGGTAATGGTAAAACTCCTCTGGCGTTTCAGGGGTCCATAGGCCGCCGGCCAGCTGGAGCTGCGGGGTAAGCGCAATGAGACACCGCGATTTCAGCCTAAAGTAGGAGAAGGAATAGGGGGGGGGGGGTATGTTCAGTCAGTAAGAGTCTGACATTCTCTCACGCCTCACCCTGGGCGGAAGAAGTCATTTGATAAATTTTCCCCTCACAAAAAGAAATGGCCGGCGCCGATTGCTTACCATCAGGTAATCCGTCTGCTCTTTTGCCAACTTAAAAATAGTACAATTATACCAACCTTCGACGACTTGAGTCTCAGTCTCGACCACAGGCTCTATTTCCGGTTCCGGTGGCAATGGTATAGTTTCCGGTGGAATCTCTACCGTTGGTTCAACTGCCTCTATCTCTTCTGTGGTCTGTTCAACTTCTACAGGGGGGTCTTCTGGCTTCTCTTCTTCTGCCGGTAGAGGAGTCGGGTCTTCTTGTATTACGCTGAGAAGAAAAGCATGAATATTTAAATGTATGGCCAAATAATGTATTAAAGAATCTGTATGTGAAACTGATTTAAAAAGAGTAACCATGGAGTTTGTTGCTCGTTCTTCTCCATAGGAATCTACACTTTGGAACGAGCAAATAGCTTCACTAGAGGACTGACCGACAGACAGACTGACACTTTATATTTTATTTGGTGTCCTTTAGGGTGTATCTGAAATAAATCACTTTGCGTCGCGCGCGGAACGCTACGCGCCGTACGCTCGGGCCTGGTTCTGGTCGGGCGGTGAACTGCCCTTACTCGCCGTCCGCAGGCCCGTGCTTACGGTGGCCGGAGATCATCACATTCTTACCTTTCTTCTTCAACGATTTGAGGAGTGTCGTCTACTGTGACTAATTCTTCTTCCACCGTCTCTACTTCTGGCGTCACTTCTGTCGGCGGCTCTGGTTCTTTTATTTCTTCTTTAATCTATTTGAAAAGAGAAGAATGCATTTATTTATAAGATTTTTGTCATTAATATGCATGCCTATAGTCGGTTCAAGATTGTAAACGGTAGAACTGCTTTCATAATTTATAAGGTAGTTTTCAACTAGTCAAATTCAATACTTTTATTAAAATTTCATAAACGATAATTTTCATATGAACTTGTATGAAATCGTTACATATGACGTCATAACGTTTTAAAGTCAACTAGCATAGTTTTATAAAAAAAAATAACTGGAAAAGTTCTAAATTTAGGCATATCGTCAAATCCAAGAATATATCCAATATAATTTATTTTCGACCTAAGAAACTACCCAATTTAGAAATTTAAAACAATGAATTTTAAGTATGGGAGAGCCAAGCTTCGGCACGAATTGGTCGGCTCGACCGGAGTGATACCACGGCCTCACAGAAAACCGGCGTGAAACAACCACAGCGTTGTGTTTCGCCGTGTGAGTGAGGTTACCGGAGACACAATCCTTCCTCTCCCTCAATTCGTAAATCTCCAAATCCCTAATCCCTAAAAGGACGGCAACGCACTCGTAACTTATCCGTTGCGAGTGTCCATGGGCGGCGCTGATTGCTTACCATCAGGTAATCTGTATGCTCACCTATTACATAAAAAAAAAATTACCACCTCCCCAAATTTATGGACGCATATTTGCAATACTACATTTTGTTACGTTTCACACATTTTTTATGCACATAAGAATTGTCTCTGGCTACTTTCACATACACATCACACTCAGACCCGAAACAACTATTTGTGAATCACACAAAGAGTTGTTCCGTGCCGGGATCGAACCCGCGACACTCTGCACAGCAGCCAGTTACCCAGCCAATGCGTTAACTGTGTAATTAAACGTTTTACCATAAGTTTTTTGAGGGTGGAATATCATTAGATGACTTCTCCCGCCCAGGGTGAGGCGAGAGAAGAGTGTCAGACTCTTACTGACTATTAACCCCCCTGTTCCTTCTCCTGCTCTGGGCCGAGGTCGCGGTGCCTCATTGCGCTTACCCCGCAACCCCGGCTGAACATCAGCCCTATAGGGCCCCGTCTGTGGTGGTCTAATGGCTTTTGAAACCTACCTTGTGATCTTCTGGCTGTATAACTTTAATTTCCGTGGTCGGGAATTTCACTTCTGGGAAGGCGATCTTGACTTCTGCTTCCGGTGTATTCTCTTTCGTAATCCTAGCTGGTTGGACGGCTGGATGTACAGGTTCCTAGAACAAAATTTATAATTCTATAAAATAAAATGTGTGGGAGAGCCATGCTTCGGCACGAATGGGTCGGCTCGACCGGAGTGATACCACGGCCTCACAGAATACCGGCGTGAAATAACCAAAGAGTTGTGTTTCGCCGTGTGAGTGAGGTTACCGGAGACCCAATCCTTCCCCTACCCCAATCCGTTCCCTTTCCCAAAATCTCCAAATCCCTAATCCTCAGAGGTCGGCAACGCACGCGTTACTCTTTTGGTGTTGCGAGTGTCTGTGGGCGGCGCTGACTGCTTACCATCAGGTAATCCGTCAGCTCGTTTGCCATAAAAAAATCACGGATAATTTGGAACCGCCTTATTGATCAGTACTTTTAGCAAATCTCTCAAAAATGTGTTTATCCAAAGCATATTTAGACTCCACTGACATACGGTGAAGGAAAACATCGTGAGGAAACCTGGACTTGTAATTTCTGACTATAAGTTTGAAATCGGCAATCCGCCTTGATCGAGCTTTTGATTAATGCTCAAACCTTCTTCGAGTGTGAAGAGGTCTTTGCTTAGCAGTGGGCACTTATAGGCTGATGATGATGATAATGACTTACAGTTTCAATCTCCTCCTGAAGTATTTCCTCTTCGACAGGTTCAACTACCATTTGATCTGGTTCCACCTAAAATAGAATTATAACATAAAAATATTTTAAGAATTTTTCAAAATTTATCTACCTATATCTATACTAATATTATAAAGAGGTAAAATTTGTAAGTTTGTATGTAGGGGGTAATATTTGGAACCGCTGGTCGGATTGCCAAAATTCCTTCACTGATAGATAGCTACAATGTTCCTGAGTGCTATAGGCTATAAAACAACACGCTACAATCAAATGGAGAAAACCACGAGAGAGTAGCTAGTCAATTTATAAAAGGTGGTAAATAATCTTGGTATGTCTTTTTATATTAAAGAGCTCGTATAAAATACATACAAAGATTATTTAAATTTATCACAGATTTACATAAATACAAAGTCAAAGTCAAAATCAAAATCATTTATTCCAACTAAACCATAAATAGGTACTTTTGAAACGTCAAAATAGAATAGTAGTCTGTCAGTCTGTTCGTCAGTGAAGCTAGGTGCTCGTTCCAAATTGTAGATTCGAATGGAGAAGAACGAGCAAGAGACTCCATTATACATTATTATAAACAAGTTTAAAAAAAAATACATTTAATTATATAAAAATATAATAGGCTATAGCACTCAGGAACATTGTACCTATCTATCAGTGAAAGAATTTTGGAAATCCGACCAGCGGTTCCAAAGATTACCTACATATATGGGTTATCAGGTCATACCTCTGTGAACCACAGACAAAAGGTTTTGTTTTTTTTCTTTTGTTATTTTTTTTTCAAGTCATTTCATTTTTATCTGTATCATTTAGTTTAGATTTTTAGTATTATTTTATTTTCTTCTCTTTTTTTGTTTTATGTGTGTGCGCTTGCGCAAAAATAAATGTTTTTCTTTCTTTACCCACTTACCTTAATGACTTGTTCGTCCACGATAACTGGCCCTTCCCCTGCCACAGCGGGGGACTGAACCTGCTCTTCTTCCTTGCCAGCTGGACCAGCCGGCTTATCAGGGGGCCTGGAACTAAATATGTTTATATAATTATATTATTTCACGCACAAAACTTATATAGGTATATAAGAGGAATTACTATTGAATTGATGTAGAAATATTATTTATTTATTTATTGAATTATGGACAACCAGTAGCTGCTACATTATTTCTTACATCTAAACATTAAACAAGACGTAAGAACTAACTAACAATAAGAACTACGTAGACGTTAAAATATGCTCAAAACCAAACGAGGTAAACGCAGCTGAGGCGGGTCCTGTGACAGGACGTTCCACAGACGCGCCAAAATTACCATGTCCTTTAATGGGACGCGTTAACGGACGAGAAGTTAATAAAATTGAATGTACAGCATTTTAAGGTGTCACAACATGCACAAAATATTTCGTAGTGACACAAAAAATAATTAATAATAAAAGAAAGAATATAATTTAAAATAATAGGATGAGTCATACTACAGAAATTGCAAAAATTATGATTCTATTATATTATATTACAAAATATTCTAGTTTAAAATACATTTGCAGTAGATTTTTTACACATACCCCATAAGTGTGTTGCTTAGGTTTCATAGCATAACTAAAAAGTCTCATTTATATTCGTCCATCAGTTTTTGGGATAGGCGTGTGCAAAACAGGCTAATATACAAGCTTTTTATTCTGTAATTATTTCAAACACGACACGACCTGTAAGTGCCCACTGCTGAGCAAAGGCCTCTTCTCACACGGAGAAGGTTCGAGCATTAACCACCACGCTCGCTCAAGGCGCATTGGCGATTGCAACCTTAAAAATTAGAAATTATAAGTCCAGGTTTCCTCACGATGTTTTCCTTCACCGTATGTCAATGGTGTCTAAATAATCATAGAAAGTACATATAACTCGGAAAAAGTCATATTGGTACTTGTCAGGTTTCGAACGTACCCTACTCATGGATGAGAAGCGGCCGCCTACGAGCCACCACGACAGCCGAGTGCTTACCATCAGGAAATCCACCTACTTAACACATTCAGTGCCACCGACTAGCCCAGAAAGTCTACGTAAATTTTATTCCAGCGCCGTGGACTCGCCCGGCGAGTTCAACGTAAGGCCGCTGTCTCACTCGGCGTTTTACTAGCGTTGACGTCAACGTTGTGTTAGCGCAGCGTTGACGCTTCGTCGTCGCGAGCCAAGCATGCATTTTGGAGAGTGTTATTGATTTTGGAGAGTGGAATTGCACGATTTGATTCCGCCATCCCCATTTCACCTTCGGACATCCCGGCGTACGGCAAATTTCCACCCTTACGTTGTTGAGACACCTGCGGCCCGGACTAAGCGTTTTGCCTCATCATTTATACCGCGTATATCAAGGGATTGGAACAGTTTTGTGTTTCAGTTAGTCCAAATATAATTTAGGTGTCTTCAAGGCTAGAGTGAATAGACTCTTAATAAACTAGTGCGGCTTACCATTAATGATTGCATCACTGCTTACCATCAGGTGGGATCGCAGTCAAGCACTAGTTTATATCAAGTAAAAAAAAGCATTAACGTCCGTGGGATAGCGGCCGAAAATGTATGAGAAATGTAGGCGACATCCGAGATATCATTGTAAAAACGTTGTGGTAAATGAAAGTGATAAATAATAAAAAATATAAAAACTAAAACTAAAGTACGACAAACAACGACGCTGAAAAAGTATAAAACAAGATTTTCAGAATACTGAAAGGCGTAGTCACACGTTACATTTACTTACCATACCTGCACTTTGATAACGTGTGACTACGCCTTTTAGTATTCCGAAAATCTTGTTTTATACTTTTAAAATGTACAAGTAAAGTGCTTTAAAATGATACCAAACACGGTATAATTGTTTTAACTTTATTTTTTTACTCCGATTGTTTTGTCCTCTAGAGGGCGCCACATTAGATTTTTCGATACCCCATATAGCCTATAACCAGCGGACAATACGGTAGTTTCCAACTAGTCAAATTCAATACTTTTATCCAAATGTCAAAAACTATACTTTTTTATGAAATTTGTACGTAAAACTGAGCAATGACGTCATGACTTTTTTGCGTCAAATAGCTAACTTATTTCTTAACAATTAGCTAAAAAAAAAATCTAAAAATTAGTGTATCGATCGATCGATGAATAAAAGTATAGTTATTTTTCAATATTTTGTTGTATTGAAACGTCGAAATAATTTATTTTTGAGTTTGACCTAGAAAACTACCCAATTAAGACGTTTCTAATGATATGTCATATGCCGAATTCTGATTAGTAGTTTAGTAGTTACGAGGGAACAGATGAACATACATACATACATAGCCTGTCAAAAACACAACCCTCCTTTTGCTTTGGCGTAGTCGGGTAAAAAAACATGTATATTTACCTTGTACCAGGTTTATGCATGGTGGCGACTGGTGGAATATGAATGTCGATATCCCTGAACGCGTAAACGTCTTCAGCTTTGATTTCGATGTCATCCAGGTCCAGAGGAGGAGCCTGGGACGGCTGGGCGGTCGTTGATAGGACCGGTGGCGTGTTTGCTGCAAGATTAATATCGAGATCAAAGTCAAACGGGTGATTTAGGATTAATTTTGGCGTTTTCGCACTGGCTAGATGGCGCTGTTGTCGTTTTAAGTCTTGTTTAATTTATTAGGAACTTTTGAATACAGTTACAGGCAATTCTATCTTTACTTAAAATATCTTGTTGGGTTTAGCCGGGAATGAGATAATTATGTCAGAGCCATGCTTTGGCACGAATGGGTCAACTCGACCGGAGTGATAATACGGCCTCACAGAAAACCTGCGTGAAACAACGCTTGCGTTGTCTTTTACCGTTTGAGTGAGCTTACCGGAGACCCAATTCAGTAAGGATTTGACCAATCTTCAAGTCAACCTTAACCCTTAAAAGGCCGTGTCTATTGGCGGCGCCGATTGCTTACCATTAGGTAATCTGTCTACCAATCTATATAAATATTGTAAAGCTTTAGAGTTTGTTTAATTGAACGCGCTAATCTCCGGAACTACTGGTCCGAATTGTACAATTATTTTTGTATTGGATAGTACATTTATCGAGGAAGGCTCTAGGCTATAAAACATCACGCTACGACTTACAGAGGCCGAATAGCGGGTAAAACCGCGCGAGATTAGCTAGTTAGCAACGTATTTTTATTTATTTATTTTTATTTATTTATTTAGGCTTACCAACTAAGACACATACAGACAATCTTAAAAATAAATAAAACAACAGTTAGTGTATGCTCTTAAATTAAAGGTAGGCTCAACATTATTTTTAGGTTGTTCAAGTAAAAGAGTTAAAAATTAAAAGTTATTAAAAATAAAAGAAATTAAGAAATTGGGTAAAACATAAGAAAACTGTAAAAAATAAAAATAATAAAATTAAAAATTAGGCAAACTCTTAATGTCTCTTTTAAATACACTTATTTTGCTTGCAAATATATCCAAGTCGTGTTTTTTATAAATGTCATTACACTTTCTGAGAGTATAAGTGAGAGGTGCGTTGCTGCCATACTTATTTCGGGTATGTTTCGTGACGAATGGGGTACAATTTACTAGCCTAGCTGAAGACCTTGGTACTTTTATTTGAATTTGGGACAACAAAGATGGACAGTCTGTTCTACTGTTTAAAATTTTATATAAGAATATCAACCCACAATAGTCTCTGCGCCAAAGCAAGGATTTCATTTTAAAATGCTCAAGTCTATCATTATACTCTTTCACACTATGCCGTACACCACAGACAATAGCTAGTCGTCTTAAGAATTTTTTCTGTACTTTTTCAATTCGCTGTATGTTATTTTGATACATAGGATACCACACTACGGAACAATATTCGATGTTGCTACGCACAAGAGCATAGTAAAGTGCTTTTAATGCTGTAATTGATCTAAATTGTCTAGTGTTCCTATTCATAAATGCTAACATTTTATTTGATTTGGCAACTATTTTATCTGTATGTGTAGTAAAACGCATTTCTGAATCAATAATAATCCCTAAATCTCTGACCTGTGTTACACTCTTTAAAGGTTGTCCCTTCATAGTGTAAGATGTAAAAAATTTATACTTCTTACGCGAAAACTTTATGTGATAGCATTTATTGATATTAAGTTCCATGCCGTTAGTATCACACCACTGACAAAGTCGATTTATGTCATCTTGTAGGAGATTTAGGTCGGAGTCAGAATTGACGATTTTTGAAATTTTGAGATCATCTGCGTACATTTCAAAATAAGAGTGGTGAATGCAGTATTTTATGTCGTCTATAAACATTGTAAAAAGTATTGGGCCTAGATGTGATCCTTGCGGAACTCCAGATGTAGGTATAAAGGAACGAGATGTGTGTCCATTTACAACCACTTTCGATTTACGATCTTTTAGATAAGATTTAAACCAATGCCAGAGAGATCCATGAATATTAAAAGTGTAATGAAGTTTTTGAAGCAATAAGAAATGATCGACTTTATCGAACGCTTTGCTAAAATCGCTGTATATAGCATCGACTTCATTACCGTTACTAATATCAGTCAATGTTCTTTCAACAAAACTTACAAGATTAGTTAGTGTCGATTTATTTTGAACGAAACCATGTTGGTGTTCTGTTATTAAACCTTTAATATGCCAGTTAATAAAAGGACACACCAATGACTCAAACACCTTAGCAAACAAAGGAAGTTTGCTAATGGGTCTATAGTTGCGAGTGTCAGTTTTGTCTCCAGATTTGGGAATGGGTGTTATAATGGCTTCTTTCCAGCATTCGGGGAAAATTCCATCACTAAGTGATTGATTATATATTAGATAAAGTGGTTTCGATAGCTGATTTGCACACTCTCTAATAAACAACGGTGGTATTTTGTCACAACCCGGTCCTTTTGATACATCTAGATATTGTAATTTTTTCTTAATTTTGGATTCTGACAAATGAATGTTATGTAAACTGTTATGGACGTTTGTGGAACTGTTTATATGTGATAAGGAGCTATTCATGTCATTGGAGATGGGACTATATACTGACGCAAAGTTTTCAGCAAACAAATTAGCAATGCTATCACCATCAGTGGCTACTGCATTGTTGAGAGTCATTTTTTTTGGGATTGTGCTTTTATTATCTCTTTTATGTTTTATGTAGGACCAGAAGTATTTAGGGTTTTTTACCAAGTTTTCTTGGACGAGTTCTATATATTTGTAATATTGTTCTTTGATCAACTTATTTGTTCTCTCTTTTAGTAAATTATATTCGTATTCGTCGCGTTTGTTTTCATATTTTTTCATATTAAGTCGGCATTTTTCTTTTTCTTTCAATATTTGTATCAGATTCTTAGTATACCAACATGGATATGAATTCTTTTTTGATGAGTGTAGTGGAATGAGGTTATGAATGATTTCGTTAATTATGCTATAAAATTTATTCGTTAATACGTTAATATCAGGTAAGCCGGTTAGTTCTTTTACCCAGTCAACATTTGCAAGACTTTCTCTAACCTTATGATAATCGGCTTTATGAAATTTAAAGGTCGGTGTGTTTCTATTACGTAAGAAAGTTGGGACTTTAAGTTGCAGTGTTATATCTAGTGGAGGATGGTATTCGTCAATATTAGATATAATGTCTTTTGCTGGGCAAACTACAATAGAATAATTTGAGTTAGAAATCACTAGATCAAGTATTCTGTCATTTTTGTTTTTAACATAATTAAACTGTTTGAGGTCATTACTCGATAAAAAGTCAACAAATAAAGTACCGAGATTGTTCGTTGGAGATTGTGGTTCTACATATGACGCTGAGGGTACTTTTGTCCAAGTTAGGAAATTCAAATTAAAATCGCCTATAAGAACAACATTTTCTGATGTATGATGAATAACGTTATCTATCTTATCATTAAAATATGAAAAAGTACTAGATTTAAGTATACCATTATATGAAACCTACCTTTAAGTTGTTGCTCAATTTGAACCAGTTGACTCTTGATATGCTCAATAGCTGCATGTTTGCTTTCATGCTGACTGGTCCCCGAAGCTGACTTCTCCAGAAGCATCGATAGCGTTGGCGCTGTCACTGATGGGGATACTGTTTCTGTGGGTTTTGAGTAAGAGGGCATAAGAATTTTTCAAAATAAAGCGGTGTCTTCAATATTATGAGCCCCGGTGTAGCTCGAAATGAATCGAGCATGCCGTAAGTTCGGATCACTTTGACTCTGGGAGGATACAAAGTTCAGCTTTAATTCAAATTTTTATACCAATGAAAAACTTATATAAGTTTGGTTCCGGGTTACTATGGGTTAAGGGGGATTTGGATCAGTTACCCTCCAGGGTCGAAATGACCCGAACTTACGGTATGCTCGATTCATTTCGAGGGCACTTGAAAGTAACTTACCGACACAGTTGGCTGGATGCGAGATGTGTTGGGGGGTTGTCACGACTGGTGAAGATTTGAGCAGCGACGTCAGTAGGGGAGACGCTGGGGGGGCGGGAGACGACGCTGCAATACAAAAACATATATATTATTACTAGCGAACCCTCCCCGAAAACCCCTACATATCAAATTTGAGCGAAATCGTTTCTGAGATCACGCTTTTTCAAGCAATCAGCGCAATCTGCAGGGCTGATTTGTGAATCTAAAACATCCAGGGCGCCACTCAAACGCACAGAAAAAATCGGTCAAGCCGTTTAGGAGGAGTTCAATGACATACACACGTACAGCACATTTATATATTTAAAGAAGATATATTTTTTATGCCATAGGTCGGCAAACGAGCAGACGGATTACCTGATGGTAAGCAATCGGCGTCGCCCATGGACACTTGTAGTACTAAAAGAGAAGTGCGTTGCCGGCCTCGTATCTTATTAGGGCTTTACAGATATACGCCAGCTTCATCTAGTTTTTTACATATAATTTTGACATGTAAAAGTGCTGTTTTATGGCCTATTTATAAAAATAAATTCATTGTTTCATTTTTTAAGTATAGGGGATATAAAGATTGTCAGTGGCGATATTATCGGAAGTCAATTCGCCATAAAAGTTAAATTGCTATACGCCGCTTCCATCCCCAATCCCCAAATCTCTAGTCTTCAAACAACGCTTTTAAAGACCGACAATGCACTTTTACCTTCCTCTCGCATTGTTCGCATCCATGAGCTGGGTCGATTGCTTACCATCAGGTAATCCGTCTACTAGTCTACTCGCATACTCGTCTACTCGTCTACTAGTCTACTGGTCTACTCGTCTACTTAGCAATCCTATTTAAAAAAAAACAACTTCTTACGTGTAGGCTGGTTCGGCGTGGTATTGTTATTCAACATAGGTTTCCAAGCGCGATCAGCTCTGGCACGTTTTTCGTCTCTTTCTTTCAACCAGGCCGCGCGCCTCGCTTGCTCTCGCTCTCTCGCTCTGTTCCTCGCTTCCATATTGGCATAGAGTTCCCTTATCCTATCATCTGAAGTAGCCGGGTTACGTAGTTCTTGTACGATGTCCTGACATTATAATATTTGTTAGATCTCTGATTTACAACAGATAATTATTAGGACGAAATTTGTAATGATATGCCTTCTATGGGATATGGGTTTTTTTTAGGGTAAAATCATCGAATATCTTCTCCCGCCCAGGGTAAGGCGAGAGAAAGTGTCAGACCCTTACTGACTAAAAACCCCTCCGTTCCTTCTCCTGCTTTAGATTGTGTTGCCACAATGCGCCTACCCCGCAACCCCGGCTAAGCATCAGCCCTGTAGAGCTAACCGTATAAGTCGGCAAACGAACCGAACGAAACTGATGGTAAGCAAACTATGCCGCCCATAGACATTTGCAATATTAAAATGAGGTGATTCGAGTCAGCTTGACAGGAGTTCTGCCACGGCCTCACAGAAAAACGGCGTGAAACAACCAGTGCTGTTTCGCCGTGAGAGTGAGTTTATCAGAGGCCCAATCTCTCCCACTTTCCCGTCCCTTCCAAATCTTTAAACATCGGAAACCCTAATCTCCAAAAGGCTAGCACTCATTTCTACCACTATTGTTGTTGCGGGTGTCCAATATCCATGGGTGGCGCCGATTCCTTCCTATTTGGTAATCCAACCCCTCATTTGCAGACTATCAGCAAAATCTGAGAGACTTATCTTTTAAATTGTTTCTTTTTAAACAAAATACTGCAACAAAACAATACCTTTCCCTGATCATACTGTTGTTGCATCTCCGCCAACTGTTTCTGTATCTCTGCAATGCGTTCCTGCATCAACCTCTTCCATATACTTTCCTGCGGAGTTTCCACCGCACCTTCTGAGCTTCGTTTCTTGCGCTTTGGCGTCTCCACATGTTCGAGAAGAGCTCCGTATTGAGCTGCACAGCTGTAATATAGATATATATATATATACATTGGTTTAACTAATGAAACAATGAATTTATTTTTGCAAATAGCATAAAACGGCACTTTGAAAAACTAGATGAAGCCGGCATTTCCTATCTGACTACTCTGAGAAGAAATGCCGAAACAAACTTAGAGGTCAGTCTCTTTTCAAGTCCAGACAATGTAAAAATAACATAATGGGAGAGAACCGTGCAAGTTCATTCTGTAGTGGTCTTTTGAGGAAAGAACCACACCAGTTTAAGTGGACCCGTTCTGAAGCACGCAAGTGTCAGTTTGCAACCAGTATAGCCAGTGCTGCTGAGTGCTATGTTGTGGTAGTCCGAAGTTAAGTTAAGGTCCACCTCTCAGACACATTTGACATGTGACAAATGCTAATTTGACTTTATTCAAGTTATATGATCTTTCTTAGTAAAAGAAAAAAAAGTCGTAGTGGCTCGAAGGTTAATGACCACGCTTCTCATGCATGAGGGTGTGGTTCGAAACCGGGCAAGTACCAAAGTGACTTTTTCCGTGTTAATATATACTTTCTATGATTATTTAGACACCACTGACATACAGTGAAGGTAAACATAGTGAGGAAACCTAGACTTATAATTTCAAATTATAAGTTTGAAATCGCCAACCCGCATTGAGTGAGCGTGGTGATTAATGCTCAAACCTTCACTTTGTGAGAAGAGGCCTTTGCTCTGCAGTGGGCACTTATGGGCTGATGATGATGACGATCTTTCTTGGTTTTTTTAGACAGGAAATTGATGTTCAGTCTTGAAGTGAAGGCTTTAATGGGTCGTCTATGTCAATCATTTATTCTAATCCAAATAAAGATCATCAGAACTATTTATCTATTTGTTGCAAGTACATTGCAAGTATAATAATTATCTTATATATAAAAATGGATCGCAAAATGTGTTGTAAGCGCATAACTCAACAACGCCTGAACCGATTTTGCTAATTCTTTTTTTGTTGTGTTTGTTATTGTCAGGAGAAGGTTCTTATCAAAGAAAATATTAGAAAAGTAGAGGGGAAGATTAGGAAAAAGTGAACCTTTGATAGCGAGATAGTTGGACCCGTGCGAAGCGGGGGTGGGCCGCTAGTTTTGATATAAAAATACTACAGCAACTAAAGCATAAACCGAAACATAAGAATAGAATATTATGTGTGAGTTGTATCATCAGTGAAGCTAGATGGTCACACTAAAGCGTAAATTTAAATGGAGAAGAACAAGCGAGGAGGACCATGATTACTCTTTAAAAAAATATATTTTTTACAAGATCTGGGATCAATTTCTCATTAGTAAATTTAAATCCTATATTGTCATTGTTTAGTGTGTATCTAGAGTATGTATTGGACGATTTAAGACAACGCTTGACACTTTTTGAACCAGTGACTACAAAAAAACACAAGATCTCTAGTCCATCGAACAACATGACCAGAAAATAACAATAAAAGATGAAAAATACGCTTTCAAGAGCAGATATCACATGCTTACAGTCCAACACTGACATTCACGACCACAATCTACCTACAAAAGCTACAAAAAACACAAAAAACGAAAGATTCCAGCAAAGATTATAGGTTATAATACGTAAATAAATAAATCATCACATACGACCAACCTCTTTTGAGAATACCAGTCTGGTGGTCTGTTTGGCTCGCCAATAGTTTTTAAAGCGCGGGAAACTGACATCCAGTTCTGATCTCCGCTTCTTACAACCGCGGAAGCAAGACACAACTGCTCTCTCACATTCCAAGTATCTAATGGTACACGTTTGAGCTGCAAACGCTCTTGTATAGAGCTCATTTTGAAGTTATTATATATTTAACACCTTGAATAATATTTTATAATGATTTTCTTGCAATTAAACGATAGTTTTTGGTATATTTTGATCGAATTTACACAACAAATCGACATAGACGCTTGTTTTTATACAGTTTGACATTGACAATGACAGCAACGCTTTTGCACAGATTGTTGAAACTTACAGTTTGAATTGGGCCGATGATAAAACTAAACGTGTGAATAAATTAAACAAATCAAAAAATAGTAATGGTAAAAAAATATTTGTTAAACTATTACAACTTTTCTTGTTGCGTTACCTATTCAACAATTTTAACATAAACAATTTAACAAGTTCTCTTAAAATAACAACATTAATTATTTTAAGTAGCAAACGCTTCTCAATACCGAAATCATTACATAAAAACATATTAAGGTAACGCGGTCTCAGCTTAGAACAGGAGAACGAACGAGTTTTTTTATCAGTAAGAGTCTGACACTCCCTCTCGCTTCACCCTGGGCGAAAAACATCATTACCTATATGATTTTCTCCTCACAAGAAATAAAAAATATCAACCTGTAGCATTTTTTATGTTCTTGTTGTCCTATCATAAATGTGTACATTACTAAAGCAGTTTTATACATTTGTGGATCCTTTAACACTGGTTGTTTACAAAACAATGGTCAACATTGTACCTCTTTGTACGTACCTAACAGAGCTGAATCATTTATGAAATGCGACACCTATTTGGCTCCTTGAGATATTTTTAGCCATTGCAGAGTAAACTATATAATGTTTTCAACCATTTGTTACCATGCAGTTTCTAGTTTATTCTTCCCGAAATGTATTTATTTACACTACGCAACGAGAAAATAGCTTTACCTACTAGAGAACTGGCCGAATGACTGACACGAGTTGTAGAGTTTTTTTTTTGTGAGAGGAAAATCATCAAATGACTTCTCCCGCCCAGGGCCGGGCAGGAGGGAGTGTCAGACTCTTACTGACTAAAAACCCCCCTGTTCCTTCTCCTGCTCTATGCCGAGGTCGCGGTACCTCATTGCGCTTACCCCGCAACCCCGGCTGAACATCAGCCCTTTAGGGCCCCATCTGTGGTGGTCGAATGGCTCTTTGAGGCGCGCGCGGAACGCTACGCGCCGTACGCTCGGGCCTGGTTCTGGTCGGGCGGCGAGCTGCCCTTACTCGCCGACCGCAGGCCCGTGCTTACGGTGGCCGGAGATCGTCCCTCGATCCCCGACGCCCGTAGTGTCGCCAGTTGCGGCTGCTGGGGCGTGAGGAGGAGGATTGCTCCCTCACGCGGGCCGCCTCTCTCTTTGCGAGCATGACTGCTTCACAAAAGGAGGAGACGGCGTCCCAGTTCCTCTCACTCTGCACCATGGCCTCGACTAAGGCCGGGCGCGAGAGGTCGCTGCCGCCGATCACTTCCCTGAGGATACGGCGGTGCTCAGCCCAGGCAGGGCATACCGCTACCGTATGCTCCACCGTATCCTCTAGGTGGTCCTCACAATGACGACACTCGGGCGTTTCCTCCCGCTGGATCCGAAACAGGAACCTACCGAAGCTACGAGTTCTAGAGTTGATTATTTTATTTGACAAAATGCACTTGTAAGACCCACAAGAGCAGATTTTTCAATAGTCAGTTATAAACGTAGTGGTTACATACTCTTTGGTCAGATAAATGTTATCTGAGTAATAAAGTCCTATAGTCCAATTTCCTATTTAACCCTAAGGTTGACTGGGAGAGAATTCCATATGGCATTAATGTCCGCCTTATGTACCATCACTTGTTTTGTGTAAATTAAAAAGTTTAAATAAATAAATAAATAAATAAAGTTCCTGTCATTGTCTTATACAAACATTTTGACGCGACAGCATCATTTATTCCCTACTTACCTAACTAAACTACTATCTAAGTTAATTTTGCCCATTAGCAGCCTAATTTAATAAGGGTAAAATCCCAGATTGCCAAGACTTTTAGGTTAACACGCAAACAAAGAAAAAAGTTTCTAGTTACTGCGAGTACTTACTGAATAACAATCTTTTACGGAAATGACTAACTGCCAACCAACACAAATGAACAATATTCTACGTAATTAGATAACTATTTAAATTAGCTTTTAAAGTAGGTAAGGAGCAATGTTGGTTAATGTAGATAATACACAGTATTTTTTTTTTTTTGAATAGGCGGTATGTTATACATCCCCCATTCAAAAACAAACAAAATTATTAAAAATCATTTATTGTAATTACCATTGATCAAGAATACGGGGTAGGCCTCGGAAAAGATGGCGTGGCAATAAAGACGCGTATCGTCGAGACTGGTGGACACGGTCGAATAATCGCGGGAGGTGTCGAAGCAAGATGGAAGGCCTTTGTCCAGCAGTGGGACATTACAGGCTAGTAAAAAAAGGGCACGGGGCACGTTACACACCCAGCAGCCAACCATGTCAGCAAAAAATCAAAAATAAATAAAACAATAACCGAAAGAGTAGGTAGGAATATAATTAATGAAATATGATTTGACATTTAGGAAGGGATTAGGAACGATTGGGCCTCCGGTAACCTCAAACACACGGCGATACACAATGCTGCGGTAGTTGCACGCGAGTACCTACTGTATTCTGTGAGGCCATGGTATCACTCCGGTCGAGCCGACCCATTCGTGCCGAAGCATGGATCTCCCACACTTAAATGACAACTAATGAGTCACTGAATAAGTAATAATACTAATTAATCAATAACAATTAGCGGCTATCATGTTCTTATTTATATAATTTCATGTTCAGATATTTATAAAAAGATAAAACAATAATAGTGCAATCAAATTGCAATTAACAAGATTACGGGATGCGTAAATATATTTAGATATTGACACGCACGTGACTTCTGGTAATTAATAAGGGCATTAATTTAATCATCACCATGAAATATTACCTTTTTTTGTCAAGGGAAATTCGTCATATGACGAATCTCTTCTTCCCGCCCATGGCGAGTTTAGTTAGAAGCCACTGTTGGCATCTGGTTAGCCAGGGTCGCAGTTCGAGGGCAAGTACCATGACTGCCTGGAACAGAAGAAACGGGGTGGATATTTAGTCAGTAAGAGACTGACCTAGACCCTTTTTTTGTCAGGGGAAAATCATCAAATTAATTCTCCCGCCCAGGGTTAGGCGAGAGAGAGTGTCAGACTCTTACTGACTAAAAACCCCCCCGTTCCTTCTCCTGCTCTGGGCCGAGGCCGCGGTGACTCATTGCGCTTAACCCGCAATTCCGGCAGAACATCAGCCCTATAGGGCCCCGTCTGTGGTGGTCCACTGGCTCTTTGAGGCGTGCGTCTGGATCTGGTCTGGCGACGAGCTACCCTTACTCGTCCGCAGACCCGCGCTTACGGTGGCCGGAGTTCATCTCTCGATCCCCGACGCCCGGAATGTCGCCCACTGCGGCGGTTGGGGCGCGAGGAAGATAGTCCCCTCACGCGCTCCGCCTCCTCCTTTGCGAGCATCACTGCTTCGCAGAAGAGTCTGACTCCCTCTGGTCTTACCCTGGGGCCTGGGCGGATAGAAGTCATTTAATGATTTTCTCCTTATAAAAAAGGCATTAGTCCGGTTAAAAAGTAAAACGTCGTAGAGTGCTAAACGAGTGCTCCTATAAAAACAATTCTACTCAATATAAATGATTTATTCATAAGTTACAAATAAATAACAGGATGCATGTATATGCAGTTGCAAACTTGCAACACATGCAACTACGGATCCGTTAACACTTAATAGCATCTGTAGGTAGGTACTTATACCAATATTATAAGGCTGATAAGTAAAGGCTGACGGGGATTAATGCGTTCAAACATTGTTTGTTTGAACGCACTAATCTCCGGAACTGCTGCACGTTGATTCTATAAAATTTGTTTGATTTTCAATCTTGTTCGAGTGCGAAGTGAGCGTCGAAGTGACGGGGTAATTAAATTTTAGAATGCCACTTTTAACGTCATCTCATACTTTATCTATCAAAATGTTGCTGTCAATTTAGTTCAACTCGCAAGTGTAGCGCTAGTGTACTACTACTCACAGCGGATTCAGATTCAAAGTTTAAAATGAAGTCTTACAGAATCACACCCCTGGTTCGAATTTAATAAATATTTTTGTGTTGAAAAGACTATTTGTCGCTCTGAGCAGCGTGTGAATTTCTATATTATTTTTGTAATGTTTTATTTGTTTATGTGTCTCTGTGTATCTGTATATGTGATGTGATGTGATATGTGTGTATTTCTTTTCACTCTTTCTTTCTCTACCTATTTCGTTTTTTTTCTCCTCCCTCCTTTTAGGCATCGATCTATTTTATTCCCGACGGTTTAAAATTACCTATATAAAATTACTAGCTTTTGCCCGCGACTCAATTCGCGTGGAATAGTGACTTCCTGCCGATTTTTGGTATAATAACTATCCTATGTCCTTTCTCGAGTTCCAATCTATATTTGTACCAAATTTCACAGAAATCGGTTTAGTAGTTTAGGCGTGAAGAAAATACAAATAGATTTCTGATATAAATAAATTTGAACTGAAACATTAACTTAATAATTTAACTATAATGGTTTGGTTTAGTTACCTGAATAGAGTTCAAACTGTTCAATATGAACTGTAGTTAACTGTGTTTAACCTCATTCCTCAGAAGGTCATTAACTTTCAACTAGCCGACTATAACTAGTATGAACTTTAATAATTAAAACGAGGTTTATTTTTTACCAGTTTCCGCCTACGTATAAAGTTATATAGGTACCTATAGCACTCAGGAACATTGTAGCTAACTATCGCTGAAAGAATTTTGGAAATCCGGCCAGCGGTTCCAATGTTGACCTCCTACATTTTTTTTATTGGGATTACAACTTTGCCCTACCAGATAAATATTGTTTATTCCAAAACAAGATTTATCTTTCATCATCATCAGCCTATACCACCCACTGCTGAGCAAAAGCCTCTTCTCATACGGAGAAGGTTAGAGCATTGATCACCACGCTTGCTCGATGCGGGTTGGCGATTTCAAACTTATAATTAGAAGAAGGTTTCACTCGCTGCTCGGCTCCATTTGATTGTAGCGTGATGTTTTATATATAGCCTATAGCACTCGGGAACATTCTAGATATCTATCAGTGAAAGA